TAACTTTTTTTAAACAAAAATAGTCAGGTGGCAACTTACGTCGTGATACATATCATCTGAAAAGGAAAACGGGACGTAGAAGTGCGAGAGGGGAGTATAAGAGCTGAGTCATTGGTCGAGAAATGATGGAACTCCCGCTGTCAAAGCATTTAGGTGACCAGCCAAATCGTTTCACTTGCTTGAAAAGGAACGATAGCAGACGCGTCTTCGTCGCGTTTCCACCCGCCTCACGGCGGCTAAGGTTTGCTACGCCAATCCCAACCTGTGCTTTTGCTGACCGAGCAGCCCCTCTGTTCCAACTCCTCCTCCTCCTTCCCGTCGCCGGGATTGAAGTCAACCCTGGACCTCTTTGGCATTGCTCATTCTGTCAAGTCCGCCATGGCCACGGCGACTCTTCTGTACGTTGCGGCTCCTACAATGGTTGGCGCCAGTGGCCTCGCCAACTCTGCCGATTGGTCACCCGTCTTCACGTGCCTCAGTTGTCCCGTGCCTCTACCTGCTCTCACGCGTCCTGCCCTTCACATTCTCCCACAAAAATCTTCAAGTGTCTGACTTCGCCACGCTGCCTGGCCTTAAGCTTTTACAGTTCAAGGCCAAAGGCCTATTCGGCAAGCTTGACCTGCTCCTCGCCTTCATGCGTTCATACAGAATAGCTGAAGCGGCTATCCAAGATAAAAAGTGGACTAACTCCACCAAGATCCCTTCCTGTGCCGACTACACGCTTGTCCGTCGTACCCGCAGTCGCAACAAAGGCGGAGATTTGGCCCTCTTGGTGGACAAATCTATTACCCACCATCAGCTCCCTCTGCATTGTGTCGAACCCATGGAGGAATTAGCAAGTTCCCTCGCTAGCTATCGTGAACGTCTACATCCCCCGCCCTCCAGTTGTCACTCCCTACTTACCCTCAGGAGACAATTTGGTGCTAGGTGACTTCAATGCCCACCATGACTTGTAGTGTTCTACTTTGGCGGCCGATCCCGGGGGAGAAGCCCTGGCTTATGAATTAGAGCACGCTCTCTTCGTAGTTCTCAACGAGGACAGCCCAACACGGCCCCCAGCTCACCCGATGTTTCCCTCGCAAGTCTCCGCCTGGTAGCCTCCACCACGTGGAGCACGGAAACCAGCGTAAGGAGCGATCACTTCCCTATAATGTTCGAATTCGCCATCACCGCCGACCACATCAAGGTTCCTCACAGGCACTTCATCAGCCTCGAGCAAGCCGATTGGGCAGCGTTTACCACCGAATGCGAAGCTAAGATCGATCTGCTACCGCCGCCAACCTGCGTTCACACGGTGGATTGAGCCCTTCGTCAATTGCTTTTGGCAGCAGCAAGTCACCACATCCCGAACGGCCGCATTCCCTTACTTTGTCCCAAACTATCCACCTGAAGTCGCCCGCCTGGAACGCTAGAGAGATGGTATAAGAGCACGTGATGCCAATGACTCGCGCATAGGCGAACTGAAAGGCTTGATCACCAATATCGTCAACGACGGCAAACGCCAACGCTGGCATTAACCAGTTGCAGGTTGCAATTTCTAAGACAACTCAGCTGCAACTTGGAAATTTCTACGCAATCT